CATTTGTTGGTTTGACTGTTCATAGCAGGGACGGAATGACAACTCATGGGGCCCCCGGACAATAGGGGATCATGGGGCCCCTGTGTCCTTGCCCAAACTCAAAAAAGCCCATGAAAAAGGTACCAGGGGCATCTCATGGGGCCCCCTACTGACCCCTCAGGCAGTGCCCGAGTTTCCAAATGGTCAGTCCGCCCCTGGTTCTTAGTATCTGTGACAGTTATCATTCATCACATGCCTTGAATGTCACTTTTTGGGGGGAACAGTCAAACCGACGGGTTTAGCTCCACATTAAGCAGTTCATTTTTTACTTTTGAGATAAATATTTTATCTATATGAATAAAAGCTGCTCATTGTCTGCATCCCTGTCACTGGTAAATGGTTTGTCTCAGCTCTCTAACTTTCACTTATGCTGGAGAGATTAGTCTGTTAGGCCCGTTGACACTTGTATTTGGGGCTGTTGGTGATTGCATGCAGGATACCCAGCAGGGGTTCCCCGAGATGAGCTGCAGAAATAAATAAACTGAAAACTCCCACAGCTAATAACAGCCTATTGTAATCGCTTTGGAGCAATTCTGTCCAAATGATCGGCCCTTGATAAAGACAGTCTGCACCTAGGGCAGATCATTTTACTGTACATGTACTTGCTCCATGAGCAATTACATGCGAGCAACCACGGTTAGCTGCAGGAGCTTCCAGACTTGTATTGTTTAAAATGGGGCTACCTTCCACAGCTAATCACCAGGGAGCCCTTCCAGGTCTCCCACATGAAATGTCTCGTGGTGTAATTCACGTGTGAATGGGGCATTATGGTTTTCAAGCGGTTTACTGGGGTTATGGCTGAAGATATCAGCCATAACCTCGGTATCTTTTTTTTTTTTTTTTTTTCCAGCCTATGGCAGTAGTGGTGGGAGAGGGCGCTCGCTGGTGTTTCTTGGGCTTACCGTTAAAACCAGCGCACCCAAGAAATGATCCGGCAAGCTGCTCCTAGATGCGATGAGAGACCCTATGGTATTGGAGGACTGGAGCGACGTCATTACATCACATCACATCTGGTCCAGGCGGATGTAAACAATTTTTTTTTTTTTAAACGTCTTTTTTTGTTTGTTTGTTTTTTTTTATAAGCAAAAGATCAACAAATATTTTTTTTTTTATTTTGATATTTTGCTTTTAAAGGTAAGGGAGAGATAATGGGTCTTTTTGACCCCAGATCTCTCTTTAAAGAGGACCTGTCATGCTTATTTACATTTCTTGTAATAGGAAAAAAAAATGATAATTTTTTTAAAAAAGGGGACAGTGTAAAAATAAAAAATAAAATTAGGAAAATAAGATTTTAAAGTGCCCTCATCCCTTCGTGCTCACGTGCAGAAGTGAACACATGTGTAAGTCATGCATGCATATGTAAATAGTGTTTGCAGCACATTTGTGAGGTATTGCTGAGAACATTAGAGCAATAATTCTAGTGCTAGACCTCCTCTGGAACACTAAACCGGTAGCCTGTAAAAATTGTTAAAGCATTGCCTATGAATATGTTAATGTACTGTAATTTGTTGCCATTCCATGAGCATACACAATTTAAATTTTTATGTATCTATTTACTTGCCGTAAAATCCTCTTTCATATTTTACAAAACAACTTGGGCTATATATATATATATATATATATATATATATATATACATACACGGTGAGGAACAGAAGTATTTGAACACCCTGCGATTTTGCAAGTTCTCCCACTTAGAAATCATGGAGGGGTCTGAAATTCACATTGCAGGTGCATTCTCACTCTGAGAGACAGATTTAAAAAAAAAATCAAAAAAAATTTCAGGAAATCACATTGTATGATTTTTAAAGAATTTATTTGTCTTGCACTGCTGAACATAAGTATTTGAACACCTAAGAAACGGCAAGAATTCTGTCTCTCAAAGACCTGTTACTGTGCTTTTAAAAAGTCCACCTCTACTCCACTCATTAATCTAACTTAGTAGCACCTGTCTGAGCTCTTTAAAGACACCTGTCCACCCCACAGTCAGTCAGACGCCAACTACTACCATGGGCAAGACCAAAGAGCTGTCAAAAGACACCAGAGACAAAATTGTGGACCTCCACAAGGCTGGAAAGGGCTACGGGGCAATTGACAAGCAGCTTGGTGGAAAAATAGATCAACTGTTGGAGCAATTGTTAAAAAACGGAAGAGGCTAAAGATGACTGTCAGTCTCCCTTAGACTGGGGATCCATGCAAGATCTCACCTCATGGGGTATCACTGATAAGAAAGTTGAGGAATCAGCCCAGAACTACAAGGGAGGAGCTGGCCAATGATATGAAGAGAGCTGGGGTCACAGTTTCAAAGGTCACTGTCGGTAGAACACTACGCCGTCATGGTTTCAAATCATGCATTGCACGGAAGGTTCCCCTGCTCAAGTCATCACATGTCCAGGCCCGTCTGAAGTTTGCCAATGACCATCTGGAGGCATGGGAGAAAGTCATTTGGTCAGATGAGACCAAAGTAGAACTTTTTGGTCTAAACTTCACTCGTCGTGTGTGGAGGAAAAAGGATGAGTTGCATCCCAAGAACACCATCCCTACTGTGAAGCATGGGGGTGGTAACATCATGCTTTGGGGGTGATTTTCTGTGAAGGGGACAGGACGACTGCACTTTATTAAGGAGAGGATGAATGTAGCCATTATTGTGAGATTTTGAGCAACAACCTCCTTCCCTCAGTCAGAGCATTGAAGATGGGTCGTGGCTGGGTCTTCCAACATGACAACGACCCAAGGCACACAGCCAGGATAACCAAGGAGTGGCTCCGTAAGAAGCATATCAAGGTTCTGGAGTGGCCTAGCCAGTCTCCAGACCTAAATCCAATAGAACATCTTTGGAGGGAGCTGAAACTCAGTGTTGCTCAGCGACAGCCCCGAAACCTGACAGATCTAATGGAGATCTGTGTGGAGGAGTGGGCCAAAATCCCTGATGCAGTGTGTGCAAACCTGGTCAAGAACTACAGGAAGCGTTTGACCTCTGTAATTGCAAACAAAGGCTTCTGTACCAAATATTAACACTGATTTTCTCAGGTGTTCAAATACTTATGTTCAGCAGTGCAAGACAAATAAATTCTTTAAAAATCATACAATGTGATTTCCTGAATTTTTTTTTTTTAAATTCTGTCTCTCAGAGTGGGAATGCACCTACAATGTGAATTTCAGACCCCTCCATGATTTCTAAGTGGGAGAACTTGCAAAATCGCAGGGTGTTCAAATACTTCTGTCCCTCACTGTATATTATCACTATCTCATTCTCTAGGGTCTTTGCTGAAAAAAAAAGTATATATAATATTTGGGAATTATACGTAATTTTCTAGCAAAAAATACTGATTTAGACTTGAAAACAAAGTTCCAGAAAATGCTTGGTCTTCATGTGGTTTGAAACAGAAAAATAACAGAATTTACTTGCAGAATGAACAGACAGTAACCTATGTTGCAGGGGCAATTCAGAAAAACAAAGACTGCTGTGTTAACTCTATTGATAGACTGCATCATATGTCATTTTGGTCAAAGTTCTTTATTTACAGTAGATAAGTACTATTCATACTAAAAAAAACCCACTAATTTAGTTTACCAGTAACATATTTATGTGAAGAAGTTTAAGGAGCATGGTAATGCATAAAACAAATGTACTGTATAGTAATGCATAGTAAAAAGCGCTTTTTATTTTAGAGTGTTGCATTCTATTTAAATGGAACATCTGTATGCATACCACAGTGCTGTAGATGAAAGATCAAATCACCCTACTTGGTATTCTTATAACTGCTGCTGATAAATGGTGGAAAGGAACACATCTCGAAGTGAGCAACGATACAGACACAGACCACTGTCAGTTCGGCTAGTCCAAAGAAGCCTCATCTCTAAGGTGCTCCCAGTTGTGGCAGCATGCCTGCACCCTCAACACACAATGCAGTGTTAATAGTCCTGTATTGTAAATGATGACATTGAGGGACTGTCCACTACCTGGATGGAAAGTGCTGGAACTGGCTGGAGTCGGGGTGAAGTTGGTAATGCAGCCTCTTCAGCTCCCCCTAGCTTAACAAGCAGTGCAGGGGAGCCTTACTGAAAGGGCAAATTTTATCTGAAGTTGAGCTTAAATCATAGCTATTATATAGACCAGCTGTGGTCAAAATGTGCTTGTTGCTCTATCCTACCTACGTCAGAAATAAAGATGAAGTAAGTGGATGACACCAGTGAGCTGCTTTTCGTGTTTCTGTGTGTCACATTCATGAAACTCTCAGAAGCTTGTAGGCACAGAACCTCTGTCCTTTGACCATATTGTTAGCCAGAAGTTGGAAAAACATTGTGGAAATTAGTAGTCCATCAGTCCTATCTGGGACTAGTAAGCACTTTTTGGATAATGCAAACATGCCTTTCCAGTGACAACAACTAAAACACTCAATAACTTTATGCTGTAACCATATTTTTTTAGGCACTTGGGTTACCTTTTTTTATGGGGCTCTTGTTTAGCTCCAAGCATGAGATCCATGCTACCACAGCCAAACTCCACACCATTTTGCCAGTGGAGCTTTGTTACCAAAGTCTCTCAAATTCTGCCAGAGGCGCATTGTTCAAAGAGTATGTGTTGTGTTGTCAAAGGGATCGCACTACAAAAAAGTGCCTGTTATGGGGGAAAGCCCATTGTTAGCGATTTCTGTCTGTCTTAGCAATACTTTATTTCCCTACTTTCCTCTGCATTTTTTTTACTCTTATGCAACATTCTGTTCTAGCACAGATCACATACTGTATAAAGGTGATAGAGTTCACAGCATTTCACACCCTTTCTACAAAGCAGTGCTATGCAGTCCTGACTGAACAAAATGTGCACTTCTGTTTCCTTTATAAATTCTAATAATAGTAGGTGTTTCAGGTACAGTTTGTCATATGAATGTACAAGATTTGTTTTTTTTGCCTAAGCCCTTATAGATAAAATGAACCCAATTTTGTACTTTTCCTTTCAGCTTTCTGATTCACCCTTCAACTGGTATCATTTATACTCAACCGTGGGCCTCACTTGATGCTGAAGATAACTCTAAATATAACTTCTATGTCAAAGCTGAGGATACTGAAGGGAAGTATAGCTTAGCTGAAGTGTTTGTTACTGTACTCGATATCAATGATCATTGCCCAGAATTCAGTGAGAACATTCAGGAGAAGACAATGGTCATTGGATCCCCAGTAAAAATAGAGGTATGTTATGGCACAGTATAAATTATACATTTTTTCTAGTTTTGATGTTTCTGGGAAAGAGATGCTAAGAGCTTCACACGTGTTAATGAAAATGGCTTTCCTGACCTGTTTTAGCTTGTTCTACCCACTGTATACTAGACATACACCCATCAGCCATCTTTACAACAACTGACAGGTTAAAGTGGTAGTAAACTGCAAAAAAGAAAATGAAAAAAAATCTCCCTGCAAGTTAAGAGCATAATGTGCTAGTATGCATGGCATACTAGCACATTATGAAAGACTTACCTGAAAACAAAGCCCTCCAGCTGTACACTGCGACCGCTGACATGGCTTCACGTGGTCTTCCTTCCGGGTCCGCACACTGCTGTCATTTGACTGGCCAATCTGTGATGAGGTCACTCCTGCGCTTGCACACTGGAGTCACCGCCACTGCACAGCTCTTTCAATGGATGGCATGCTGTCAATTGAGAGAGCAGTGTGCATGCGCAGGTGACATCCCCGGTGATGCTAAAGTAAATATCTACTAAACTCTGTACATTTAGGAGATATTTATTGTACTACATGTAAGCCTTATTATAGGCTTACCTGTAGGTATAAATCATTAAAAGGCCACCTTAAGTAATTAACATTGATTATCTTGTTACATATGCACTCATAAGTTGGTGGGATATATTGGGCAGCAAGTAAACATGTTGTCTGTGAAGTTAATGTTTTGAAAGCAGAAAAAATGGTCATTGCTGTTTGTTGTATATGGTGCTGCAAAGCCAAAGACCTATCGGAATGTCCATGCTGGTCCATGTCAAAAGCGCCTACAATGGGCATGTAAGCATCATGACTGGACCATGAAACAATAGAAGAAGGTGGCCCGTCCTGATGAATCACATTTTCTTTTACATCATGTGGATGTACAGGTGTGCACGATGCTTACCTAGGGAAGGAATGGTACCACGATGCACTATGGGAAGAAGGCAAGCCGGCTGAGGTAGTGTGATTCCTTGGGCAGTCTTCTGCTGGGAAACCTTGGTTTTCTGCCATTCATGTGGATGTTACGTGACATGGACCACCTACATTGTTGCTGACAAAGTACACCCCTTCATGGAAACGGTATTCCTTGATGGCAGTGGCCTCTTTCAGCAGGATAATGTGCCCCACACTGCAAAACAATCACAACAATGAATATGAAGTGTTGTACAGATCTCAATCCAATCAAGCATCTTTGATTTGTGCTGGAAAAACAAGTCCAGTGCATTTAAGCCCCACCTTGTAACTTACAGGACTTAAAAGGATGGCTACTGCTGGTTTGGTGTTAGATATCACAGTATACCTTCAGAAGTCTAGTGATGGCCAAGTGGTTTTTGCAGCCAAGGGGGGACCTACTCAATATTAGGTGGGTGGTCATAAAATTATGGCTGACTGGTGTATATTGATCTTTGTACTTCAATACACATGAATAGACATGAACAGAAGCAATTGTATTTGTGTAACCAAATCTTGCATTTCTTGCTGTGGTCTACTGCACCATCAATAATTAATGGTAGTATTAGTAAATATTTTGTAAGAAAGAGGTGGCGCCCTCTAAGTGCAGTATAAAAGCTTTTTAATGAATAAAAAGTGTAGTAATACAAGTCACTCACAAAGCTTAAGTAGGTTTGCACTTGTAAATTAAAAAAGCATCCACTGTAGTGAAGGAATATGAAGACTCTAGATGGATGGTGGTCGCTGGCATCTGGCAGTGGTGCTGGTGGCTTCCAGCACATCCTCTAGTTCCGGGATTCCCTTGGTTGAGACGTCACTTCCGGTCACGTGATAGCGGTGGTTGGCACGCTTTCAGAGCACGTGTGCTCCCTCATCAGGCCATGATGAGGGAGCACGCATGCTCCGAATGTGCACCGACACCTGCTATCACTAATGGATTATCATTAAAAACTCAAGTGTATGTGGTATTTCTCAAATAAATTTTGATGCCAAAAACCTAGAAACAAAGGCAGGTAACTTCTCGTGGCAAATGACAGAAACATACCCAGTAAATTAAATCTTATTTGGAAGCACATCCGTTACATTCTTAAGACTTTCAGCCTAGTGGTAAGAGTGAATATTTTATTAAATATGAATTGCACTAAGCCTAGGTTGAAATCTGTGCGGGTTGGGAAACCATGCAAAATCGTGTGCATTACCTGACCCACAGAAAAACCATGCTGCACACGGGCATGCCATTTATTGTTAAGGGGACCCCCATGCATTAGAAAACATGTTGCATTTTTGGGTTCGCACTAGGCAGTTCTGCATTTTCAAAATGGGCCAGGGACTTTTTTCCTTGCATGTCCCACAGGCACAGCAGCTCATTTAAAATGAATGGACTGCTGTGCACATGCAAAGGAAACATGCAGAACCTTCAATAGTGTAAACCAAGGCTAAGATCTATTTTAACCTAAATTGTTAACATAGTAATGGTCCAGTAGTCTTAGAACCATAATCATTTCATTGAAAACACATAGGGGGTCATTTATCAAGCAAATTTGTGACAAAATTACAGTAGTTGCAAATCAAGCTGCCTTTTGCTCAGCAAAGATTCGCGAACAGGATTGTAGACCAGACCCATTCCTAGACAGTAAAGTGTCACAGTTTGCAAGGTTCTGATTTTATTACCAAGGATGAGACAGATTTTCTCTCTAAACTCCTGGTGCCCCTCCTGTTGTTCAAGAGCCATATGCAGACCTCAGCAGTCTGCAGTGGGAACATTGATCAGGGTAATAGCATTGATCTCTACTAGCCTCATTTATTTATTTATTTATTACATGTACTTATATAGCGCTGTCAATTTACGCAGCGCTTTACACATACAGTTGCCTCACATACTTTTTCCTCCCTGCGCTGTGAATGTTTACATGTTATGTGCAATTAAACCATGGCAACATCTAATGTTTGTGTAGTATTATGTTCAGCAGACTGTGTTCTTCTATTGTTGTGACTTAGATGACGTTCAGAGCACATTTTATGCCCAATTCATGCAAAACTCCACGTAATCCCAAGGGGTTCACATACTTTTTCTTGCAACTGTATATTGTACATTCACATCAGTCCCTAACCCTCAAGGGCCTCATGTAATGTTCCTAGTTTTGTATGGTCTTCTGCAGCATATCTCCAGGCACAAATGTATCCTGTTCTAAACAGACACAAAATTAAGAAGTTCATTCTGTCACAGTGCTGCTTTAGAGCAGTTTGAGAGAGGAATTACTGATCGTAGTAAATCTATAACACAGTCTGTCTTACTGCCACTGTTTATTTATGCTTTGCTTTTCAACAAGATTGGTAAATGTCCTCATATTGTTTTCTGGGTGCCAAGGTTTCTAATGATCACAACATTTACAGTGATTTCCACTGGTCATCTCATTTTCACATTGACCTTTCCTATTACATCTCCTCCAAACTTTATAGGCATGATTAAAATATTGCATTCAGAGATCTAAATAGCTATGTCATTGTAAGTAACTTTTTTTTTTTTAAGTTTAGACTTTACAATTTTGTTTGTTTTAGAGTGGGGAAGGATTATAATTCCTGTGTCATTATTACTGTTATCAGGGCTGCAGTTTGAGATCTCTTCTCTTACTTTCTGACCCAGTAAAAGTGCATTTACTATACAGCAAGTAAGGGGAAAATCCCCAACAGGGGCACAGACAGACGAATATGACAGGGGTTCTATTCTAGTTCTAGTCTAGAAAAATTTGCATTTTTCTTTGTTGCTTTTGGAGAGTTCCTCTGGCAAATCGATAAAGTGTGAGTGCCTGTGAGCCACTAGGAATGTGATATGTATAAAATGTGATTTACTAGAAAGTGAGTTCGCTGGCTCCTCTTTACATTCTCATATATGTATATTGAAAAATAAATAAATGGATATATGGTGCCGTGCCCTCTGTGTGAACAGGTGTCTAAATATTAAAAGCAGTATTGATCAAACAATTAAAAACATATATCAAATTTCAATAGATATGGGATATTCAGATATAACAACAAATATTTAGCTTTTAAAAATGAGTCCAGCCAGGTTTAAATGTCTTTTCATGAAATTGACATACTTGAAGTAAAAGTACTCACACTTTTGCAATTAACCTATGAATGCCAGTGTTAATTAAAGGAGCAGAGGGTTACCCTGATATACCACTCTATAAGGAGCTGAGTGGATTAATTGCCTCTTCACTCTTAGATGTATCACTATGAGTGGGTCTGTAGTGTGGATTCTTCCTTCTTTGGGGCTTTCCTTTCCTGGATGTATTGTTGTAAACAAGCGTGGGGCATGGATCCACACCTCCCTATGCCATACACTTCATCTCCGCATACACACACCCCCCCCCCCCAGACGAAGCCACGTGACCCTGTGGCGCAACGCGTTGGGTAGGGGCGCTGACGTCACCACGTACCTGACTCCTTCGTACGGCGAGTATAGGCAGTGTGTGTCCACACGCCGTTCAGGCTGGTCACACTGACACTTTACTGGCATTTTATACAAGCGCAATCAAATCTTATATAATGTGAGTGCATATAGGCACAAATAAAGCTATATGTTTTATTGAGGATAAGGCACTATTTCCTTTTCTTTTATCCCTGGCATGTATGCGGAGATGAAGTGTATGGCATAGGGAGGTGTGGATCCATGCACCACGCTCGTTTACAACAATACATCCAGGAAAGGAAAGCCCCAAAGAAGGAAGAATCCACACTACAGACCCACTCATAGTGATACATCTAGGAGTGAAGAGGCAATTAATCCACTCAGCTCCTTATAGAGTGGTATATCAGGGTAACCCTATGCTCCTTTAATTAACACTGGCATTCATAGGTTAATTGCAAAAGTGTGAGTACTTTTACTTCAAGTATGTCAATTTCATGAAAAGACATTTAAACCTGGCTGGACTCACTTTTAAAAGCTGGATATTTGTTGTTGTTATATCTGAATATCCCATATCTATTGCAATTTGATATATGTTTTTTAATTGTTTGATCAATACTGCTATTAATGTTTAGACACCTGTTCACACAGAGGGTGTGGCACCTTATATCCATTTATTTATTCCTCTGGCAAATCATTGTCAGTTTAGGATGAAAGGGAAATTTTCTTTTAGCAGAGCCACCATTTTCAGTAAATACCCCTCAGGGGTTTCCACCCTTTCCCATTGGGTTTTGGTGGGATATACTATTTAAAGTATTACTAAACCCACAACATTAAAATCAGTCTGCATATGCAGTAAAACATGCTTGTTATGCTCACTGTGGAACCTAAGGGGTTAATCCTCCGCATTGTGTAAAAAGGCTGTTTGATCCTGTCTGCTCTGATCCTCCTCTTTTTATACTGTCCCCAGTATAACTCCTGATAGAAGAGGGCCTTGGGGGCAAGCTCAGTTTGGTGTGTATTGCCAAAGAATTGGACATGGGGTCAGGAGTCCCGCAGTCTCATAGAGGAGAATTAAAACTCCCCCTACAAGCTCTGATGGACACTGATAGAAGTCACAAGACTGCTCTAACTGCTGACTGCTGATGAAAAAAGGCATTTAGCAGTTTTATATTTACTAAAATTACATTTCCATGTTCTGTGTACTGTGGAAGACTGGATATAGTGAATGTATAGTCTTGGGTGTAACACTTTACCAGCAAATAACCGTATTCAGTTCCTAGAGTTTCCAGTAGGTAGCAGATGATGTTTGTCTTTTATTCTTTTATAAACTGGAAGCAGAGCATAATTCTACAACTGTAACATCTGTGATATACTATTGCTACCAGGTATAATGCAGCTACTACCAGGATTTCTAGCCTGGATGAAGCATATGAATTAGCTAGAGGCCTTCACGGTGAACAGGGTGAGGTTTGCGAAATATTAGATACTGCAAATGTGAAATTCATCACTGTATAGTCCTAAAATATTATAACTTGTTCTTTATCCTGAACCATAATATTATATTAAAGCGGTAGTAAACTCTGGCATTTAAAAAAAAAAAAGGAAATTCTATGCAAAGCAGTGGCAGAATGTGCTAGTATGCATCACATACAAGCACATTATGAAATACTGACCATAAAATGAAGCCCTCAAGTGGTGCGCTATCTTCATTGACAGGTCTTGCATCTTCACCCGGTCTTCCTTCCTGGGTTCGCAGGCAATTTGAATGGCTGAGCACAGGAATCATGGCCATGTCACAGAGCTCTGAAGGGACCTTCAGTGCACAGGTGCCAGTGAGATCACTGTCTGCAATATCAGTGAATATCTACTAAATGGTGCATGTTTGGGAGACATTGACTGTACCTCCAAGCAAGCCTTATTATAGGCTTATCTGTGGGTACAACCAAAAAAAAGTGGAGTTGACTACCACTTTAAATGTCAAGATAAATGCTTTGTTTTAACCAGCCATAATTTTGGATGGACATGCTTTCTTTTGACATATTTTTCTGTTTTTTTTCAATTTATGATTAGGCAACTGATGAGGATGCAGAAGAACCAAACAATGTAGTAAATTATTCCATCATGCAAGCTGATCCAGACAATGTATTTGATATAGACCAGAATACTGGAGAGATAAAACTCAAATCCTATATCCGGTCTCTGGATGTAATTCAGAACATCACCCGGAACAAGAATTGCAAATGGTCTGTGGTTGTACAGGCAAAAGACAGAGGTTCCCCATCATTCAGCACGACTGCAGTGGTCAAGATTGATGTAACTGAGGAGGTAAGATTTTGGTTCCTTTTTTAAGATTTTGATTGCTTTGCTCCAGTCAAACATACTTTTGTTTATGGTAGAGTAAAGAAGGGTAATAAAATCTCTCATGTTTTTATTGCTTCTGGTGTCCCTTGTTGGGGGATTTTCACCCAGGTGTCACCCAGGCAGGAAATCTCACCAGTAGGGCACAGCAATTACAGTTATACATTTTTTAAAGTGGTTGTAAACCATTACACATACCCAGTGAAGTAACTAGCCCCAGGTGATGCACAGAGATAAAACAAAACATAGGTTGTACCTGTTTATCTGCTGCCATTTCTTGTATAGATCATTCTAAATACACAAAAATCCATGGATTTTTTTCTTAGCTCTAGCACCAGGGGGTGGGGATCTGACATTATACACACTACACCTAGAGCACAGAATTCCCTGATATTTGACAGCTGATTGGAGGGAAGGAACACACCCCCTCTACACAGGCTTACAGGTTCATAGAAAAATAAACAGCACTGAGGCTATGAGTCACCTGATGTTTGCTGGAAGAAGGTGGGCCTTCTCCCTACAGGCTACTGTGTCAGGAAAAACTGTCAGAAGTGACTCATGCAAATAGCAGAAATGAGAGATCAGAGAGGAACCATACTCTGTGCTTTGGATTTAGGATAGAGCACACTATAGTGGGATGTGCTTTGTTCATTTTTTTATATCTGATGTTTACTTTTAACCTTCAAAATTCAACATTTCAAAATGTTACTGAGCCATATCATTTCCAAAAAAAAAAAAAAATATGCATGTTAATAACTAAGTAAAAGTAGAAAGGGGCAAGCAATTTGCTATATATCAGTAAACTCATTCTCTAACTAGTTTGAAAAAAGGTAAAAGTTGATAAACCTACCCAACCATGAACTTCACAGATAGCAAACATTCGGGTAGTTGATTGCTTTAAGGGCTCAGTAAAGGCGGCACAGGGCCAATTACAATCACTTGCAGGAACAAGAGAAGAGGGGGAAAAAAAAAAGAAACTGGCTTTCCATTGGAGCTATGTGTTCCTGTGGACACTGGGAGGCACATCCATACAGACAGACATAAACAGCATGCAAGGGTGACTTGATAGGGTGCAGGAAAATAGCAACCCTGAAATAAGAAGCTGGGTTAAGCTGAGCTAAGCACTGAGGTTGTCAGCTGAATCCAGAGGAAAGGACTGCTGAATACCTAAGTAAGTAGCATACACAGTACCCATACCACCATTAGTGTTAGGGGGGAGTGTAGATGCATTAACAAAAAGAATGTATTTCACAGCAAGCACAGTGTACAAGGATAATGAAATTGGTAGCAAAACATGACTGAGGGACATGCAGAAAATCAAGGCTAATACTTACCACCTAATCCATAAAACAACCACCCCTTTAACGTTCCCTACTTAAATAACCATGCGACTCTCCTTTTGGTGTAAAATCGGCCATAGCAGCCCATTTATTTAACATAACTCTTGCATAACACTTTTTACAGTACAATCAAATAACTGCCAGTAATGATCCCAACCGCGTAAAAGGTCTTCGAAGGCACTGCTACTCACATCAATAACTCTGCTGTATCTGACACCCAATGAAAAGGCCCCCAGCCGCTACTACACCGCCTCTGGGACAATACTACAGTTACATAGTCCCAGATACAGTCAATGAACTCCCACGTTACCAACATGACCTTATAATTGGGAAGGAACACCCATACCTACGATGGGCCCAACCCATAATCCGCCAAATTATCACTCCAGCACCGCCTTCAAAGACCCAGCGACCCCTGCCGGCTGCCATGACAAAAGAGAAAACCAGAAAAACACCACAGGACACCAAATGATGATCAAGAAAAGAAAACAAAATCAATGAACCCACACAAAACAAACAACAGGACAAACGCAAAAGGACAAAACCAATAACCACAAAACAAACAAAAAAACAAAACAGTTCCAGGGAGGGAGGGCGGGAGAAACAACACCCATGCTGGCACAAGCTCCTACTGATCTTCGACAAGTCCCAACCCCTCTCCTCATCCTGGCAATACCACCCTCAAGGTCTCTTACTCCAATCAGGTGAGTAACCACCCCCACCTACTGAATCTACTCCCACCCCAATCCAATCTCCGCCTCGTCTGCAAGCCCCAGTCATGCTGGCCCTCTCTTTTTAGCTTCACTCAGTCCAGGCCCTGACTCACATGCACTCACATATACAGGTTCAGAGGTATGTTATTGCAGTCACTGAATTTAATGTTGCGGGGGTTAATGTTGTAGTCACTGACACCAATGCTCTGTTTTTTACTGCTGACACTGATGTTAGGAGTAATCATTGAAGACACTGATACCAATGATGGGGGTTATTATTGCAGACAATGACAACAACGTTGGGGTTTATTTTTGCAGAGTCTAGTGATTAGCACTACAATTTCTTCACCAAATACTACTTTTCTTGATCAAGATTGTAAAGTTGACATTTTGATTTACTGTATATATCTGGCACTCTCAATTTCCTACAAACATTGTTCAGTACACTACACTCAACAGGTTGTCTATTGCTGACCTTTACCCAAAAAACTGAGCCATGGATTTGTCCTCTAACAGTACCTTTTGACAGTTTTGTAAAAGGTTGTAATTTTTTTGTAACGATTTGTGTATGTAAAAAGGTTCTTGTAGGCAACTCATATATTATAGCATTACATTTATAGTCAAATAATTTACCTTGGAAATGTGGTGTTCGTTTTCTGTAGGGCACATCAGTTGGATGTTTTGAGAATCTCAGTTTACATAATTTCCAAAGGTATAATTTTAAAGCCCATGAATTTGACTGCTGTTTCATCATTTTTGTATTGTGTTATACTTTTAATTTTAGTTTTTTTGGTTCTTACAATCAGTCCTAAGGAAAAATAATAACCTATTATTGTTGCAGTTTTGGTATACTCAGGTTAATGTTCCTAGTTAAGAGCTGATTGATTTGCTGAGGCAAAAACCTGTGTAATCCAAACTGGTCTGGATTATCCCTTGGTAATCCTTAATAATCTGGGCTTCTTCGTACCTAGTTCCTCTCCCCTCAGAAGTAGTAACAATAGCCTTTATTACAAGTATGTATGCTTGGATAACTACAGTCAGAAGGCCTGCAAGTATGTGGACTTTGTGTGGTGTTGACACTATCCCATATGCTAGTCGGTGTTGGTCATTGAAGTGCACCCTGGGACTTGGATAAAAAAAAGCATCCCTCAACCCAAATTATTACCATACTTCAAGGAGGTTTTGATCACTGTAGGATGGATACTGCTTTTTAAACTTATTTTGGCTGCTATAGGAATTTTATTAATCCCCCTACCCATTCACTACCCAATAAATCATAGTTTAATAAATCAGAATACAAAATAATTTAAATTATTATTATTATACAGTATTTATAAAGCGCCAATAGTTCGCTCAGCGCTGTACATTACAAAGGGGGACAGAACATGTGACATTACAATAACAATACAATGCAAAACATGAGGGGATCGAGGGCCCTGCTCTTTTGAGCTTACAATCTAGGAGGGAAGGGATGGTGGCACAGGAGGAGAAAGCTGTGGGGGATGGAGTGGTAGGAAGAGTGGAGGAGGTCGGCAAGTTAGCAGGGGTGGATAGATCTAAGACCAGCTCCACACCCCTCAAAAACAAAAACCTGGCTAATGTTAAATTGGGTTGATAGTACAAAATCCTTAAGTATTAGTCAGGATATATTTAGTATATTTGCTTTATGTCTTTGTCTTTCAGTCCTAATATCCTTTTTATGTCTTGATTTCTCTCTGTTTTACAGTACTTTTTGTTTCACTTAATATTAGTGTACTATAGTAGTGAACCTTATGTTTTGTTTATGCATGCTACTGTTTATTGTTGCATGGGTGGTTCAAAGTGTAGATGAATTATATTAATAGATAACAGATGTGACCTAAAGGAACATGGTTATGTCACATACATAAAAGTGGTATACAATTATAAAGTGCTATGTAAATACTATTTTTAAAAAACCTAATGTAAGTGGCTTATTAAAAGCAAAACAGTGGTCCCTTAGAACAGAACTGGAAGAATAAGGTTTTAGGTTTTTCAGAGTCTGACTGTCATGCAATAAGAATTTTAAACAATACGTTGATCTATTTTTTTGGTTAATAAAATGAAATATTGAATGATGAGGTCCCAGAGGAATCCCATGCTGGCCCTTTGGGTTTCAGCTGTCACAGACCTTGAAGATCTGTGTTGTAGTTTCAGATGAAAGGAAAGCTGATATTATTATGTGGTCTTCCACCCTTGGATATTAAGAAAACTATACATATAGTTGGGTACTCTCAGATACAAGTTTGTTTTAAACCTAATCTATAATTTAACTTGAAGGAGCATAGTCCATTTGTCCTGGGCTGAATGTAATTTTTAATTACATACAGTAGTTGTACAATATGTTTTAGTGGGCCTGCAATATTCATAAAAAAAACCCCTAAAGCTTGTCAGGATGGTTTCTTTAGAGGAGCATGGAGGCTGCCATAACTTACCTCAGTCTGAAAATGCTAGTTGTCTGGTTATTATGTTGATCCACTGGCTTCAGGAAAGTTTGAATAATGTCAGACCTTTTTTTTGCTATACGTTCTGGGTTAAGGATTCAAAGTTTTGATGCTTGGATCAGCATAGCCTTTAGACAACTGACATTTGCAGATGAGAAGAAAATGGCAACTTTCATGTTTCTCCCAGTAATTGTTTCATTTAATGCTTATATTAATCAGATACATGCACCGGTTTAATAAAAAAAAGACATTTAGATCCTACCTGTGGATAAATATAATTGTTGAATCATACTTATCCAAACTTTTTATAATTTTGGTCATACTGATCAAGTGTCAATATTAAAAAAGGAAAAATTTAATACAGATCACATTTGTAGCAAATGGAGGCCTATTAATTTAAGAATGCTGATTCTATTTACAATACTATTAAAAACGTTTTTCATAGACCTGCA